GTTGAAAATGTGAATTTATAGTGGGCTTTATGAAAAGCTTCATATTCTGCATGGAAAGAAATAAAATGGCTATGCCAATTTGTCTCTTTCTATCAAATACTATGCTTACTAGGGTGTTCTCTTGCTTGATTTTAATGAACTTTGGACCATCTCATTTTTTGAGTGACATTAATTTGGAAATTTGCTTACTTAACCTTTTTCACACTGCCTTTTCTGATTTTTGTCAGTATACCTGACTTGTTTACTTATTTTACCATCTCAAATATGGGGGGAATACCAGTATTTGAGATGGTAGGAACAAGTGGTAATTGTACCAAATCCTATCTTCTCTGTTGAACTGAGTATTTGTCTTAAGAATATGCTCAAACAGTTGCTAGGGAGGTTGTCAGAACTTTGCTAATTAGGGAAAGTATGTATAAAATAAAATTTTTAGTTAGTCTTGAGAAAGTTTTCTTCCAGATCAAGTTTTGTTGATTAAAGACTTTATTGCTTCCCAGCTGCTTGTCATTGCTGTCAGAGCACCACTGAGCGCAATAGAGTTTCATGAGTTTGCCTTCATCAATACAGTACAAGGTCAGCTGGGTCAGCTCAAGCCTCTTGCAATGACTTTTTAAACTAACCTGCCCTTTAATTTATTGAATTGATAGGGAGGCGGTTTCCATCATCCCTTCTTCCAGCAATAGTGTTGAGGTGCTAACCTCCAGCTGCCTGGATGCATTGACCATCTGGGAATTATATTATCTTTGTCTGGCACAGCTGCTTGGAGATCGGTGTGTACCCCTAGCCTTAAAGCACTGTGGAGGAGGTTTGTGGTAAAGCATTTCACTTTGTAATCGCCAGAGACTGACACAACAGGCATATTGTTGAGTGGTTGTAATGCAGTGGGGTATGATCACAGTCAGTTTGCAAAAACTCCACTGACAAGGAGACAGTCATCAAGCCATGGTAACAACCACTCTTGGTCGTGTGTCTGCTATTGGACGCCAGGGATATAACCTACAGTAGCTGGAACCAGTGAAATGTTACTTGTCTGAACAGGTTTTGTAACTAGGCCAAGTTGATCAGTGTGCGGTAGTGCTGTATTATGGCAAGGAAATGCTGTCCATGGATTGATAGCTGGGAAGGGTCCTGCATTTCAGTGGTTAAATGAAATGACATACCTGCCTTGAGTAACACTGTGATCTGGAATTACCATACATTTTTTCTCTAAGTTAAGTTTGACCTTAACATCTGTGCCGAGTTTAAGGACATAGCAGATACATGTTGTAGATTGACATTAAAAAGATACTTTTCTGGGGCAGTTTTTAACTACGAATATATTTATTGTCAGAATATGCAGTTAAGGCTTTTTTCGTCTTTCCCCCGCATGTTTGTTAGTCTAGTAATACTTACCAACTTGAAATTTCACCAGAAAATATTCCACCAAAAACAAGTCTAGAAGGTGAAATATTATGTCATGTGATATAAAAAAGAGTAGAATAAGTTGCTGCAGAAGAAACAGCTGTGTAAAACAACCAATGTAAATTTAGATGTGGAAAATGTGGTGGTTTGAAAACATTTAGTTACTATTTTGAGGTCTGGTTTTGAGTATAAAATCATGAGACATTTACAAAAGCAGAATTATTTACAGATTTTGCACGTTCCTGTAATATTGTTAATGTTGTGTTTCTCTAGGCAGTTTTATGTAAATGGTACGTTACGGTTCTAATTTTTTGTTACCAATATAATATACCTATACTATTATTTTTATGTATTTCAACATCCTTCTTTAGGTGAGCTAGAGTGTCCTGTTACAGTGCAAAAATCTGAAATTGAGCTTTTACAGGAAAAAATGCAGGTTTTCCTAGCAGAGCATAATTTGAACACTACAGATATGCTGGAAAGCAACAGTATAAGGATGGGAAGTAAGCATGAGGTACAGTAGTTTTAATGCCTCATATATTTGTGTCTAAGTCAGACTGGTGAAGCCAAACATTTTTGCTCAAGGGTCCAGATAATAATTTTAATATCTGTTGACGCTGCTTATAATTCTGGAAGCTTGTTTGAATGGTTCTTGTGTTATCTGCCAAAGACTTGTTAAAATAGCTGTTGGGAGTAGAAGGTTTTACCTTATTAAATACTGAATAAGGCATTCTTAATTAAATGAACTATTTGAAGGATAAATTCTTTGTAGGTTTGTTAAAATGAATATTTATCAAGTATTTTATGATGTTTATTAGAGTGACCATCTTTCCCTGGAAGGAAAATGAGAGAAATATAAATGGTTATTATTATGATTTTATAAGTGAAAAATATTTTTTCCCGAATTCTTGATTTTTACAGTAGGATATAGTATTTTTTCTAGGAATAATAACAATGTCTTTTGAAGTTTATACCTTTGACTTGGTATGGTGTTGGATTGCTTCTTTCGTGGTGTTTTACTCTTAAATATAGGTGTCAGTAACAGCTATAAATTATGGTAAATGAAAGAGAACCATAAATAATTCTATGGCTTAAATTGATCTATTAAATTATCTGAGGTCATGATGTTGTGTTCAGCCTCTTCCTCATCTGTTTTTTTTTTGTGGTTGAATAGAATATGGGAAACTTAGAAGAGATTCCTTTAGTAAAGTTGCAAGTATGAACATTATTCTGAATAATATAAATAATTTACAAGAGTCAGCCATCATGTCCGTTTCCCTGAGAACCTTCTGGTTTACCCATATTTGATATCTTGTAACATTATTTTTGAAAAATGTATGATGTTCTTTCTTAATGTCCTGTACTGTATGCTATATTTGGAAAAAAACATAATTTAGAACATTTGTTCAGGAGCATGTGATGGCACCTCTGTGAAAATGTGTGTAAGAAAAAACAAAATGCTGCACAAGCAATGTAGAGTGAAGAACAGAGGATGAGGAACAGCCCTACAAACACGAAGGTCAGGGAAGGAGGAGAGAGAGAAGTTGTTCCAAATGCTGGTATTTCCATGCAGCCCATTGAGGGGATCCCCATGGAGCAGATGTCCATACAAAAGACTCTGGAGGAGACCACAGCTGATGGGTATTCCCTCATGGAAGCCGCAGCTTGTGAAGGGGAGTCCTTGTGAAGGTTCCTCTTACACAAACGGTGGTCCCTGGAAGACCCACTCTGATAAGATTTATCCTGAAGGACCCCAGCCTATGGAGAGGCTTTATAATGGAGGAGGGAAAACTAAGGAGGAAAGAATGGCCCAAGAGGAAGTCTTGTGGACTAACTGTAAACCTCTCCCTGCACTGCTCAGAAGGAGATAAAGAAGTTAGGAGTGATGGAATGAAGTTGAGGATGGGAAGGTGGGAGCTCCTCCTTGGTGGGGGATAAGGTGTTGATTAGTTTTTTTTCTTTATTTCTTACTACCCAAATCTATTTTAAGTGACGGTAACTTACACTGATTTTTTCCAAAGCGAGTCTGCCCTCAATGGTGAATGGTAAACCCATAAGCTTTATTGCCCTATTTTCTCCTCCTTTCCTAGTGAGAAAGGAAATTGAGTGAGCAGTTGAGTAGAAGTTTGACCCTTTGCCAAGGTTAACCTACCACCAATGTCATTGTCTGTTTCCTCAGAGTAATGTCAATAGGACTACTGTGTTTGTCATGAACTGATCACTGTGTCAGAAATAAAGCAATTACACTCCCTTGTGTAAAACAACATACAAACTTTTAAAGCCTTTGCTTTAAAAGAGAGTCTTTGCCTGATATGTAGATCCTAGTTGGGTTTTTTTGTTTTTTGTTTTTTGTTTTTTTTCCTGAGAGTGAGGGTAATGATGCTTTTTTAAAAAAAATTGTTTGGTTGTTTGTTGGGGGTTTTTAAATCTTTTTTATGCACATTTCAGAAGCAAAAGTATCCCAAAATCAGATGACAAAATGACCTTGGCAATATTTACATTCGTAATTTCAAATGTCTGGTATTACTATTTTGTGATATTTAGTGATAGATTTTTTTTTCTCCTTTTTGGAAACCAGTCCTATTTAAAGTGAAAAAGTATGTTACATGGCATATTGTAAATGTATCATATTGGAAAGTTATGGACAAAATAAAAAATGTCAGTTGCTAGTTAAGGTATTATTTGAGGTTAAATCAATTTAATGGAATAGTAGAAGTGTTGACATATTCAGTATTGAAGAATTTATTCTGAATTCCTTTTTGTTGTAAATCAGTCACTTTACAATGAAAATACAAATGGCAAAATACAACAACAATAATAACAAATTAAGTTTTTGTTTGACTTTCTGTATTTATGTAATAGCATTTTACCTTAATGGTATTAAGTGTGGGTTAGTATTTCTCTGTTCTTAACCAAAGTTATTAAGAAAATCTGAAAGTCTAATTTGATGAGGTCCTTCTTTCTTTGCCATAAGGACATATGACATAGTATGAAGGAAGCTGCCCAGTTTAAGTGTTACTTTCACATACTCTTTCTCCAGATTGCTATATGAAGCTGTACATAATATAAACACATATTCTTGTCTCTAGTTAGTCACATTATAGTTAATGACCATATGGTCATTATGGTATAAGATCTACTGTCTGTTGTATTTATATTCCTCAAGCATATTGTTCCTTCAACTTCACAGTGTGTTAAACTATTTCAAAGGGAAAAAAATCCTTTCCCTCTTGTTTCTGGTTGTCCTATCAAGTGTAACCTTGGACCCTTATAGAGCAATTAGACCAGCCTCTATCCCCTCCTTTGTAATGAGGTTTCTTGCATTTCTGAGTCTATAACCCTTTAGTCTTCCCTAATGGGACATCATTATTCTGAAAGAAACAATGTAAATGTAAATGAATATTCTCATTAACGAGTCACAGAGAAACCTTTAGTGGTAGCGCTGTGGTAATTCTGCTTGTTATTTCTCTGGTATTCCATGCAGATTTTTTTTTTATAATTCATTATTAGTATTCAAAATTACTTCTTCTTTAATTCTGCATGTCTTTCATAATCCGGTGTTCCAACTAGTTCAACCATGTCCTTGTTTTATTCTCCAGGAACCACCTGTGAAACGTTCAAGGTCTCTGTCCCCAAAGAGCTCTTTTAGAGAGTCAGAGGAACTAAGGAAGCTTAAAATAGCTGAAAGGAAGATTGAAAACTTAGAGAAGACACTATGGCTAAAGGTGAACATTAAAAAACAAAACAAAACAAAACCTGCTAGCTATAAGCTTGCATGGGTAAAGATACCACAAAATAAACGGGTATTTTAAAAATACACATATTGTTATAGATTCTGTATTAGCATCAGGGAGCGCTCTCCATTAGTTTACCTTTTTGTTTTACTGTGTGAGTAATCCTGCAGTCCTATAGAAGCTTAATTGAGTTGTCATCAATAACACATACTTGTTAAAGATATTTTCAAAGTTTGTATCTGAGAACATATGTTCTGAGAAAGTCATATATTCATATAGAAATAAACCAGGAAGTACAAAAATTTTTTTCTTTACAGTGAAGCCAGTATTTGAAATGCTGAAGTCGATTACTTGAAAGAGGTTTACCCCTGGAAACTTAGAAGTTATGGCTCAGAAGTTGCTGTTCTAACAAATGCTGTTAAAAAAACCCAATAAACAATCCCCCTCCCTCCACCCCTTGGTAGAAAATCCTAATTGAGCATGTACTACAATTTCTCCCTGTTTCATAGATTTTTGTAGGAGTTTTTTTGTTGGTTTGTTTTTTTTGCTTCAGAAATACAGTACCTTTTGAACAAACTATTGGATTCAAATTGCCCCTCAGAACACAAAACTCAAACCCTAAGTCATATTTTCTTCACATTTAAAATTCATCCTCTCCTCCCTTCCCTCCTTCTCCTCCCTCCCTGTTTTTGTTGCTTATGTTTGTTCAGTGTTACGGTGTTTGAAACATGTTTTCAGTATGTGTAGCCTAAAGCAGAACTGGTTATATTGAACATGCTGTGACAAATGTCAGGTAAGTGAAAAAATTTGATAGCCCTACTAACCATAGTCCTAAGCTCCTGCCTCATGCAAAAAGACACTCATGTGATAAGTCAGTTTTAGAAAAACTGTAAGTGGGAAGATTGTTTTAGCACAAATGCCATAGTTCATCACCCCATATACTTAAGAGAGTTTAATGCTATGCCCTAACACATGCAGAATATATGACAGATTGTTATTATAATATAGGAAAGATTATTTAGACTTCAGTCTTACAGGTCATCTTGTTTCTGGGAGTCAGAAAATTAATTTTCATTTTTCCTCTCTGTTGAAAAATCTAAGGCATGTCCCACAAGCTAAATCTGAGGCTGGGAACTGGCCTTTGGGAGGCTTCCTTTTTGTTACTCTTACTTGGCCTGCCAGACACTGATGCTGCAGATTATTCTGACCGGTGAACTACAGCTCCTTGCCCTTGGAAGCAGAGCTCACAAATCAGCGTGTATGGTTGTTGTCTAAATGATAGGGAGCTCCACATTTCTCTCTTCTGAAAAGAGAAATGAAGGGAAACAGTAATTTTCTCAGTAGATACAGAAGAGAAAGAACTCTCTCTGTATAACCTCATATCGTAATTTGTACCATTCACCATCCTGCCTTTACTTACCTTCTATTTCATCTTAAAGTATAATTCAGGAATCTGTGCAGCTTTATTATGTTACAGGTGTGGGATCTCTCTCACAGCTTTTAAACCATGATATCATCAAGGGCTAAGTCTTGTATCTCCCCTTGAAACTGAACACATGAACTCTTTGCATTTTCTCTTGAAAATCTTCTTTTCTTCTTTTGCAGAATGCTTTAACTGGTTGAAAAGAAACTCTAGAGGCCCAAGTCAACATACTAAACACTGTTGTGGCACTACATTCAGAATTCGATGATGGCTATTGCCAGCATGACAGTGTACTAAGCTGTCATAATATTGATGTCAGAATATTTCTATTGCTGTTCTGTGATTTCTTGATATTAACCTTCTCTTATGCGTTTTTTTCCAAAAAAGAAATAATGCACGTGAGCAACATTTTCAAAACTGGCACTTGCATTATTGCCTCCTCAGGCAAGGTGTTGACTATATGATTACCTGGAATATTATTGTTCAGAAAAATCCTTGCTCTATCAATAAACACATTGATGATGCATATCTAGAGGATGAAATTGTGACCTTATCCATTAGTCTTTCTGAAAAACTGGTAAAAAATAAATAAAGAAAAAAGCACTCTATTTATGGAGTTTTCAGGAACAGGAATGCCCTAGTCAGTATTGCAAATGAGCAGAAAGATCAAGATCCCATTCACAGGATTTTCCAGTTCTCCTCAACTGACTTATTTCTGACCAAGAAAAGTTAGCTATTTGTTGCTTTTATGAACAGGATGATCATGTAAATTCAGAGTGTCCACAGTTTTTATACAGAATTGCCTTTGTGTCTGGACATACTAGAAAGTAACAGAGCATGCCTGATTGTGCTCTTGTTTACAGAAGAAAACTGTCCAAGTAAATAAGTGTACTTACTGGGTTTTAAATAACAAATTATCAAGATGATACTTAGAATGGTCCAAAGCATAACTACCTCAGCCTACTTTTGGGCTTTAAGAAGTGGGTAAGAGTAGGTATTTGATATGAGCTAAGAATTCTCCCATATTATGTTTTTAGAATTGTGAGCGCTGGCATAGCCCGGAGGAGATAATCCTGGCTGTACCAGAAAGCTTTCAAAAGCAAGCAGAGCTCTTCCCATTGAGTTTTCTCATCCTATTTAAGTTCTAAAGTTTTTGGAGATAATTAAAACTAGGTTATATAGATCTCTCTTTAGGCCCACCTTAATACTTGTTTATGTCAGCAACACTACACTCATGTTTAGCTCAGATTTCCTGTATAGTCCTATTTCATGTATGGTGCTCAGACGCTGAAAATAGATTGGCTTGTCCACATAACTATTTGTGGAAGAAACTATTTTTGTAATAATGAGTATGTCACTTCTTGTAAGCCTAAGAATAGCACTCAAATAATTGAATCAATATAATTTTTTATATTTCCTTTCTACTATAACAGAAGTTGTTACAGGTCAATTTCAACAAAATTTTGAATTCATTATTAGAATTTGGCTTGTCTGAGATGTGTGCCAGAAAAGAATGGTTTTTGTTTCACAAACAGTTGGATTTTTCCTCTTTCAGATTGGACTTTCTCTTATTGTCTTTCATTATTGCTTAGGAATTACTATAGAATGACAGTGAAGAGCTGGAAAATAACCCCAAGGTCCAGCACTGATAGAAATGGTTGTTCTGCCAATTCCATAAATATATAGAAAACTGTGTATAAGACTATTTATTTATTAAATATAGTATAATTCAATCAGAGAGAGACAGATCTAACAGATTATGGACATTTCAGTGTATATTTAAGATCCTGGAGTGCTTAATTCAATAAAGACAGTGATTAGGGCAGTTAATTGTCTAATTTCTATTTCTGCAAGAGCAGAGGAAGTGATAAAGGAAGGAAATAACTGTAACAGAACAGATAATAGAACAGGTAAGCAATAATGAAAAATGTAGATTCATAAATAGGAAAGGCCAAATTCTACAGTTGGTTGCAGCTCTGAAAGGGCTTATTGACACTAATAAGCTTCTTAGAATTTATGCTGAAGACATTATTTTCCAGTACCTTGGCAGACTTGATCAGTTTTTACTAGCAATATCAAACCATGTCAGAACAATTGTTTCATGAACTTCTCTTGAAAACACAACATCTGTAATTGGATTCTTATGAAAATTTCCTGTTTTAGTGTGAAGCACAGCATGCTAATAGTCTCTCTGGCCTTAGTCTGAGATTTATCTTGCTATTTGTGTGATTGGTTTTAATATCATGGTAGTATTTACGTGAACCACTTAAAAACAGTCAAAAGTACTTTTTAAGCAATTCTAAATTTATAAATATGTCTGGTTTAGAGGTTGTTTCAGGAAAAAAAGCCTATCACCACCAGTTTGAGAAAGTATTTAATGGTCACGTCACTTTGGACATGCTTCTGTTCCTAAATCTTTTTGTGTTGCCTGAGTCACTTCCAAAAAACTTATGCAATTTCCTAGGTAGTATCATTTGAAATTCTAGCTGGTAACTTTCAACTTTGTGCATTGTGAAAGCGGGGCTACATTTAAAAGCCAAGCGCTTAGTCTGTGTACTTTGTAGTTACAGTACTCTAGAAACCTTGCCAGTTTTTGTAGTGGGATTTTATTGCTTACTACTCTGGCTATTGGTGCTTCTCATTTATTGACTAGTGCTGAAAAGCCCTCCTTGCATATAAGCAGTAAATACTTGCAGATAAAGTATTGTGGTTTACTTAGTTATATAGTTGCCCTACAAGCAGAGCTCCTATTGAAGTGGAAATGAAGCTCTGAGTGCAAATATTGCTACGGGATGATGTTGGTCAATTCTTTATTGTTGTATGCCAAAGTTTGACTTGCTTGGTACTGTGAAATACTTATTCTTGGTGTTGTGTTTGGGTTTTTTTTTTTTGTTTTGGGGTTTGGGGGGGGTGGTGGTGGTGGTATTTGTTTGTTTTGGTTTTTTGTTTTTCCTTTTTTGTTTTTCACAGCACTGTACTGTCATTTGGAAAAAATCTTTTTTTTAAACTTAGATGATTTTATACTGTAATAGAAATCGAGGTGTATTTTATTTTGTTCTGTGCATTTTTTGTATAGTTTTGATTATACAAAAGCTATTGTAAAAAATTGTTTTATTTCTTGTTTGCTGCATTACTAGAAGACAAAATCTGGGAGTTGCAGGTTTATATATATATATATTCAGAAACAATATATGAAGAAATACTGAAGCCTTTGAATTTAGTGTCTCCACTATTTCCCTTGAAAATGCAAAAGTCAGTTTTCCACTGGGGGAAAAAAAAAAGGTAGTTTGAAAAAAAAGACGGTGTGAACAATCCTTTTTCAGTCTATGTATTTTTAGATATATTAGGCCAATGTATTCCTAAGGTGAAAGCTGACGTTTTGGTAGTAGATTTTTTTAAACTTCTCAGCAGCATGAAAAAAACATCTAAATCAATTTTGCCAAATTAGCAAAATTTTCCAAAGTATTAATAAGAAAACTTTGATCTCAAAGACTGTAATTCCTGATCTTTCTATTTAGACTTCTGACTTACTTAATAGTTGCTAAAAGAGAACTTCTGTTTCATGTGGTCTGTGTGACAGTCTCTTACATTTTGACCAACTCTAATTCAATTTTTCTGCTTTCATACAGACTCAAGAAACTGATGAGCTAAGAGCAGCCTATGAAAAACACAAAGAAAGGCTGCAGATGTTACAGACCAACTACAGAGCACTAAAAGAGCAATTAAAGCAGTGGGAAGAGGGTGATGCCAGGTAAGTTACATAGCTCATTAAAAACATTTCCCTTACACAAGAAATCTGAACAGAAGTATTATAGAGGTATTGAAAAGAGAATTTGATTTGAAGGAAGCAGCTGCTATGACTGTGATCAAAAGTTTATCCCTTGTTAAAGCAGAATACATGGCTTATCCCTATACAGGAAGAACTGCAGTTGAAACCAAGAGGAAATGTATTGAGCTGACACCTTGACTTATTTTATTTAGGATCTCATTGTGAGCCTGAGACGAAGGTCTGCTGGGGCTGCTTACTTATGTTTGTGTAATTCCCCAGTCAATTGTTTTGTTGACTGTGTCTGTTTTTAATTTTCTCTAATACAACAGTTGCTGATTATGTTTCAAATCGTTTTAAAAAATAGTTTTATTCATTAAAAATATAGAAATAACAGCCTCTCTAACACTTAGTGATTCAAATATTAACTGAATCCCATCCTGAAATCTCCTTCCTATGAGGGGAGACAGATAATATCTGCATGAAAGCAGGCTGGTTTTATTTGTTAAATTATTTAAAAATCAATTATTTCTGATAATTTTACCCAAAAAAATGCAGTAAAGATCTTTATTAATGGAAAGAAGAAAGACTACTACATAAAAATTCACATGATGAACATTCTAAGTTTAATTCTCTCTTAAATTCTATACAGAACAGTGAAAATTTTATGCAGAACTTTTTTAAGGCCTTAGCAGACAGTTAGAATGTTTGGTAAACAAATGCATTTGAAGTTATGAAAACATTTCATTTCAATTATTGACACTCCTGTGTTCTGGGACCTGGTTCAAGGAAGTAATTTTCTTGTAGCTTTAGCAGGACTTTGGCTCACTAAATGTGTATGAATTTTACTTAAAAATAATTCTTTTTGCAATTAGAACAATACTGACTAATCTTGACACAAACTTTGTAATGCTCTCTGAACAAAAAGAGAGTCACAGAAAATGCTGCAAAACTGGTAGCTGTTCAGAGTCCTACCGATAAACTGTCCCTCATATATAAGTAATGCTCTGGCCTATATGAGTAATTTGCGTTGCTTTAAAATACTGTGGCATTTACTTAAGAACAGTTTGTCTTTTAAAATGACAAAAAAAGTGTGGATGAAAATGATGGTAAAGTACAAAACCACTGCACCATTGGTGATAGCACAGAAGGAATTTTTTGAAAAATCCAAGCATAATTACAAATAAATTTGTTTAAATTATAGTGAAAAGGTGCTTCTTATTTAGGAAAAAACATGGATGATTTTTTCCTCTATCTTATTGTTTTAAATGGAGTGCAATCTGGAAGTGACTACAGGATGATAGTTACTATATTCAATGAAATTATTTAATTCTGTGTCTATAGCTAAATAGGCATTCATGGTCCACTGAGAGGCCAAGACTGAAAAGATAAAAAAATTCAACCTAGATAAAGACAGTCAAATTAAACTTGATATACAGTGAAGCATTGAGTGTTCTGATTCTGGTAGTTTTTTAAAAGATAAATAAAAAAGAACAGGAAAGAGAGACAAAAGTAACTTCTGTTTCTGTTTAAAATAAATAAGGCTAATTTGTGATGTGACAGGAATATATTTGGGGAAAGTAGGTATTGGGTAAAATGTAATGATGCATCTTCATTCATTTGATTTTTCAAATATATTTAAGATAAGCAGAAAATAACAGGGTTTTTTAATTGTTGTCATCATAATAGAATTGTATGAAACCACACTAAAAGGGGTTTCTTTTTCCTTTTTAGTATGGTTAAACAAAGGAAAGTAGCTGAGGCACAAATAAAAACAATCTATAACAATAAGTCTTATTTTGGTATCTCAAAAAGCTATATAGTGCTGGTGTAATGTAAATTGTGCATTAAGAACTCAGTATCAGGTCCTTGTGTGGCACTTCTGATGCTTTGTAAGTGATGGAGGACCCCATTCTCCTTATTCATCATACATTAGTATCTGTTATCGAGATGGCAGCTGATGGGACCTAATCCTCCTGTCAGTGTATGTACAACTTGCACTGATGTACGTGACTGCAAAGATGATGGGGTGCTTAGGAGGTTATCACATTCTCTAAGACTATTCTATGCCCAGTAGGAATTCAGATTGCAGAGAGTTTTAAATTGATTTCTCAAAGAATTTTTAATACAATTTTTATCTTTTGCATTATTAAAATACATAAAAATATTTTAATGACAGAGAAACTGTTATATATTTTAAATTTATTTTTCTGTGCCTTTAAATCCAGTATGCTTTTTCTTTATACATCATCTTGTCCATAGACAGTTTATTCAGGTGGTGCCCATTGATCTGTAGAACAACACTTTGATTTAGAGTAGGCATTAGTGCAACTTACAGATTAGTTTCCCAAGGCATTAGGGGAGCTGGTGGCTCTACATTTTTTTTCAAGAGATGATGTGATGGTTTCAACTTCTGCTTTCTCATACTATTATTTTAAGTAATGTTGATAGAATGTGGGTGACACTATTCTGTCACACGTAGGTTGAGAGGCATGGTGCCATACTGGCACAACATCTGTCTGAAACTATGCTATTAGACTTCTTTGTACTACCACAGTTAAGGTTTTGTGCCTCATAAAATGTGTACTTCATACAAAATGTAGATTCAGTAGATGCTGTACTTGAAAATTTGTATTTTCTGAAAGCAAAACATGTAGGTATTTGAAAACAAATAACCTGGTTTTCTCATAAACAGGCTTGAAAATAGTAAAAGCGGATACCAGCATGCAGACTCCTTTCAGCTTTCTCAAGAGGATCCTGATGTGGTGTGGACTGAACTGGCTTTTTTCGAAAGGGAACACAAAAAGCTGTTGATTGAAAAGTGAGTTTGCTTCTTAAAAGGTGTTTAAGTAAAGAAAAATACTGGGTTTTTTTCTGAAGATAGTACTTTGCAGACCATATAAGAGGGATTCGTTGCAAAATCTCGAGACAAAAATGTCTACCAAAAGCATAAAAGAAAAACATCAGCTCTTTTTTTTTTTCTTCTCCCCACCCCCCCTTCCCCCTCCCCTTGAAATCAGTGACAAGTTACAAGTTTGCTAGCACTAACAGAAACTGTATTCCGTGATCTAGGGATTGTGTTAATTAATGTGGCTCTCATCTGTTGGAGGTGTCGCTCTTCATTAGCCTGTATTTTACACACTGCCGTGCTTCATTTTTGGAATGAGGTGGTGAGGGGATAACCTAGCCAGCCATCCTTGTTTGATCTCTGTGATACATACGCAATGCAGAATGCCTCAGCTCTCTTGGTTCCCTGCCCTGTCCTGCTAATCCCAGCTGAGCTCATTATGGTGTAGCCTTGCTGCTACTCCTGGAGCCAGAGCTGTCCAAGCTAATTACTGGTAGCAGCAGAGCTGCCTGTTAAGGGTCTGGTGTGGATCTGCTAACATGGTCCTTGGTAGTGACCTGCAAAAAGCACGAGGGAGTTGCTCTCTTTCTTGCTGTGCGCAGCCTGTCCTTTGGGTTTAGTGCTGATCCCTTCACACAGCTCTTTCAGCTGTAGTAAGTGTAAAACTTGGTGAAGGAAACTCTTACTTTAGAAAACATACAGTTTGCTGCTTTGATCTCATAATTCATAGGCTATTATACTCAGCCAGGCAAAGTAAGAAAATGTCCTTTTATACTAGACAAAAGGAAGTTAGTATGGTATAATTAGCCTTTGCTACTATTTAACACTTTCTGTAAGTCAGGTTGATTTTTTTTGTTTTAATTTAAGAATCAAGACATCATAGAAAGTTTTATTCAGACTTTGTTTTTGTCGGCGTTAAAGAAAATGTGTTTTCCCAGTGCGTCACAATGTAAACCAATTTTGTGGCGATACCATGAAGTCTGTTATCACAGAATTTCAACAGCAGCAAATTGTTTTGTACTATGTAAGTCCTCATGCTGCCTTAGTGTATTACAGACAATATTGCCGGTATCTGTGTTACATGGGGTGTTCTTATATCTGTCAGTTACAATGGTCTGCTTGTTCTTGTCACTTCATTGTCATCTTTGTTTGCTGTTTTGAAACTATAGCAACAAATTATCACCTGTAATTATTTTGTGGGTTTTCTTTTTGTATTTTTATATAGGAAGGAACACTTTCTTGCCATATACGTAATTACAGTTTTAATTCTTCTTCCATCACTAGAGAACACGAGCACCACAGGCAGTAGTGACTCAGGAGCAATTACATAAGCCTTGTTTTTCACACAAAGCCATGCAAGAGAGATTGTTTATGTATTGTACACACCCTGAAGGTTGGTACAGTTAGACCGCTTTTTTAGAGCTCCTGTGCACTCACATTTATGGGAAACACCGTTATGTCTTGTATATTGCAGATCAGTGGCTTTGACTAGATTGTGGTGAGGTGGCATGAGCAAACAGAATACAGAATTTATAAGACAAAATAGGTTCATAAAATACTGCACAGTACTTAGCAATAAGCGAGTATAGCACTGTGTTCATTAAGGTGAAAAGGACAGACAAAATTAATACATAACTGCTGTGGGGTTTATATCTGTCTTTTGCTAATAATGGCTGTTTTTAATTTGTTGAAGCAAGTCATTGTTTCAAGATCTGAGCTCACTTTCATAAGATACTCAACACTAAATTTAGTGTACTTCTTAGATCTGTGGATAGGGCTTCTTTATATTGCATGCGTTGTATAATTTTCCAAAGTGTAAATAAATCATGTTAAGCCATAGATTTTGTGGATGCACTTCATTTGATAGACCCTACTGGTTGTTAGCTTAAGTTGATGTAGAACACTTGTCAAAACCAATGCAGCGTTGCTTAAAGAAGGGTGTCTGTGTAGGGATTTCATTTCAGTTTAAGTAGTTTTAACTTTGAATGTGTAATTTCTGTCTCTGAGTAGGCCAAAGAGTAAATGTTAGGAAAATAGGATTATTATAGTTGTTGTTTGTTTATGTGTTTAACTTGTAAGGAAGGTTTTCTCTCCCACCCTCTGAGGGTTAGAGCAATGATGTAAATGTCTGTAGTCTGCACATACATGGATCTGACAATTGATGGATAGTAGATACATTTTAGGGTAAAACCAGGGAAAGCTGGCTTTTTTTGCTGCTCCCATGCTCCAAAGTGGTCTTTACCAATATTAGCACACTGTAAATAGTCAGTTTGTAAGTTATGAAATGTGTTTTTAAGTCAGGAAAAACTGAAGTTGTTTGGGAAGTAGCATGTTCTAGTGGTACCTAATTCCAAATCCTACTGTAATTGGTAGAAAGACTTTGTGTCAGCCACTGCTTTCTGTCAGGTCCTTTCTTTTATAAAGTCTTCTTCTCATCATAGGCAAAGATTGCTCTGACTTTCGTGTAAGCTATTAAACACTATCCATCTTTGAAAGTCTATACTAACACACAAAAAAATAGAGGCTTTGGGACTTAAGTTTAAGCATCTCTTTTTTAAAAATATGTGTAGTTTTCTATTTTTGCGGAGTTCAGAATGCCTAATATCAGAGTTAATTTTTGGAGAGTGTTGATACAGAGTTTGGGGCATTGTTATGACCTTTTTTTGTTTACATTTTGATTAGTAACGAATAGTAGGTACATGTTGTATTGCTTTACAGTTAATAGTGAAATATAGTTCAGAGTCATGGGCCACATACTTTCCGTGAATGATGTGTAAATTTAAACCATTTGTATATATAGAAGGAAGTATTTCTATATTGTTACAATACCGTACTAGATTAGTAAGATATAATAATCATTAAACTGGAATTATTCGCTGTTTGCTCAATGCTTTATGCTTATATTTTTCTTGAATTTCCCAGTATTCTGCCTGAAATCCATGAATCACAGAATGGGTAAGGTTGGAAGGGACCACAGTGGGTCATCTGGCCCAACCTCCCTGCTTAAGCAGAGTCATCCTAGAGCACATGCCACAGGATTGTATCCAAGACAGTTCTTGGATATACTCAGTGAGGGAGAATCCACAACTTCTCTGAGTAACCTGTTCCAGTGCACCCATACAGTGAAGAAGTTCTTCCTCATATTCAGATGGAACTTCCTATACATCAGTTTCTACTTGCTGCCTCTTCTCTTATTGCTCGATACCACTGAGAAGAGGCTGGTTCCGCCTTTTGACCTACCCTCCCTTCAGATATTTGTACACATTGATGAGATCCTCTCTCAGTTCTATCTTCTCAAGGCTGAATAACTCTCTCAACCTTTCCTCATAAAAGAGATACTCCAGTTCCCTAATCGTCTCTGTGGTCCTCCGCTGGATCTGCTCCAGGAGCTCCGTGGCTCTCTTGTATTGAAGACCCCAGAAGTGGACACAACTCTCCAGATGTGGCCTCACCTGGGCTGAGCAGAGGGGCAGGATCACCCACCTTGGCCTGCTGGCAGTGCTTTTCCTAATGTACCCCAGGATACTACTGGCCTTCTTGGCCACAAGGGCTGGCTCATGGACATCTTGTTGTCCACCAGGACCCCAAGATCCTTCTCAGCAGAGCTGGTTCCCTACAGGTCGACACTTTGTCTATACTGGTGCCTGGGGTTATCCTAGCCCAGGTGCATTTGCCTTTGTGGAATTCAGACAATCTGCCCATCTCTCCAACATGTCAAGGTCCTTCTGAAGGGCTGCACAGTCCTCTGGGGTGTTGGCCACTCCTCTCATCTTTGCGTCATCAGTGAATTTGCTGAGGAGGCATCTGCCCCTTCATCCAAGTCACTGATGGAGAAGTTAAACAATACTGGGTCCAGAAGGGAGACATCACTAGCGACAAGTCTCCAGCTAGACCTTGTGCCACTGATTACGACCCATTCTCAATCCACCTCACTGTCTGTCAACTCATCCAGGCCACACTTCCTGAGTTTGCCTATGAGGATGTTGTGAGAGAGAGTGTCGAAGGCCTTGCTGAAGTTGAGGTAGGCAACATCCACTGCTCTCCCCTCATCTGTCCAGGTAGTTGTTTTGTCCTTGAAGGCAATCAGGTTGGTCAAGCATCATTTCCCTTCAGTGAATCCAATCTGGCTATTTCTGATTGTCTTTGCGTCTTGAAGACCAGTGTGACATTTGCTGTCTTCCAGTCCTCGGGTACCCCTCCTGATTGCCACAACTTTTCAAAGATGTCCATGAGTGGTTCATCTGTGGTGTCTGCCAACTCCCTCAGAGGATGAGTCCCACCAGCACCCATGAACTTGTTGTCATGTTTGCCTAGGTGTCCTATAAGCCAATTATATTTGACCAAGGAAAGGAAGAGGATTCTTTTTTTTGCTATTGATGTAATTTACCTATGTACTAAGTGCATTACAGAATAATTATTCTCTGGCTTTATAGAAATTAGGTTTACCTGGCGTCTTTATTAGCACTGTTCTCCTGCTATTTACTTTTTCACAAAAAATATCAAATTATATTCCACCATGTTTATGATACAGATTGAAGTCTTCATTTTTAATTTTACAAGTTACAAAATCACACTTTTAAAATTACCTATTATTAAACATAACAAAAAAAAATTAAAAAGGTCCAGAATTTTGGTTCACTTTGAGACCTAATCGGGTAGTTAAAAAAATAGTCTAACTTTTAAGACCCTGCAATTCATTATCTTTAGAAATCCTGTAGCAACTATCAACTAAATTCATGTCCAAACTGAAGAGCTGCAAACAGAACAAAAAAGAAGTAAGTGAAAAAAAAATCTTTAAGTATTCTTTGAAGTGCTTAATAATCACAGATTATGCTGAGTTGGAAGGGATGCACAGGGATCATTGAGTCCAGCCCTTAGCCCTGCACAAGACCATCCACAAGAGTCACACTATGTGCCCGAGAGCATTGCCCAAATGCTTCTTGAATTCTGTCAGGCTTGGTGCTGTGACCACT